TCTTCAATAGTTGCCTAGGATCATCTCAAGAGATTGCATCAGTTAGTCAACTGGACCAACGAGGTAAAATTCTAGGTGTCATCAAACATAGTTCATGGTAAGCTCATAACACAAGGCATTAGCACCAATATAAAACAAGATGCAACGAGATGCAAAGAGTTCACATATTGTCTATGCAACTTCATTTGGTCTCATTGTAGCCGCACATTCATTTTTGTTCGATTGGGAGCAGTATTCAAGTTATCGGTATTGATCAAGACCGATACTCAAATTTGCAAAATAACAACCACATTCAAACACAAGAGGTGGCAAAATATTTCGGAAGGTCCAAAAATCATTTTCAATTAAAACAAGGAGCCACAAGCTCAATCATCAACAAAAATAGTGCCCAAAACACAATTTATAGCTTAAAACCCAATATATATATAAAAATAATATTCACAAGAGGTAGGTATGTAAATACCTCACCCCACCACCAAACAAGAAGAAACTTGTCCTCAAATGCAATAAAATACTAAAATATTAAAAGAAATGACAGAGAGTGAGGTAAAGAGGGATCCTGTCAAAACAGTCTCTCCATCTCTTTGGGAATCAGTGCGCGGTGTAGTACTCCGATATAGGGCATCAGTGCCCGGAGTCATCTCAGAAGTACTGGCTTCAATGGATCCTCCCATGGTGGTGTCTCTCAAGCACATCTGGCGCGCAGTCTCGAACATCACATCCTCAAGGTCAGCCAGATCATCATAAACCTCAGCATCTCGCCGAACCGGTCGGTGAGTTGCCGAATAACTTTGGCAAGCCAGGTCGGGCTCGCCGAAAGGATTGGCTCAAAATTCCCAGAAAAATTTGGCATGTCGGCGATAGGAGGGATCTTTCGGCAAATCGCCGACAATATTCGGCGATCAAGGACTAGCCTGCTAAAAATTACAGTGCATTTTAAGGGATAGGGGCACAGTAAGGGCGATAAAGAAGGATAATCGGGGAGTCGCCGACTGCACTCGCGAACTCAGGCTTCTAGCCGAAAGTGAAAGAATCCAACTCCAAATTTAGCATGAAATTAAAGGCGATAAGGGGGATTCGGTGAATCGCCAAGTGGTTAGGCAAACTCGACCCAGCTCGCCAAACGACCCAACGTGCCTATTTTCGACCCCTACTACTAAATTCAACCCCGCAGCCCCCGAATACAAAATCAAAACATGCACTCCTTCTATTAGGCTAAGACCCATTACACCCATCCCCCCGGGATACTCAAACTTCTCCCAATTTGGCCAAATTTAGCCAGTTGACGCCTTTTTCCCTTAAGAGTCAACCGCTCCATCATTGGGTAAATTACGCCATTTGATACAAATGCGGGTTACTTAGACCTCAACTGACTAGACCCAAGAATATTTATGCAACACTCAATAATTTTAAACACTTTTAAGCACGAAAAATTTGGGAATTAACAATAAAGGCATTATTGGCATCATATTCAATTTAAAACAGGCACACACATATACAATTATGATCAGAGAGGCCCAACACACATCACTAAGATAAAAATCATTGCATAAGAGTAAAAATCGCTAACTATAAATTTGCGGTTCGGAAAACCAACCTTATAAACTGAATAAACAAGTTGTAAAGCTAGGCGGCAATGATATCCAACTCCAAACACAAACTTGACGACTAGAAAGCAATAATGTAGGAAAATATAGTGCGGGTGGGAGTTTGGAAAGTTGAAAAGTAAGGGAATGTGAAGGATTTTGAACTTTTGAACTTTTAGCCTTTTAAAACCGTCCAGTTCTTGCCCATTTGGCGACATTAGTCTTTCTCTCCGACCCAATCGGCAACTCACCGATTGGACAATTACCTCACCAAGTTTTACAGGACCTTCAGTTAATGTGGGCGTCCAAACAGCGGACAAAATCGCGATCACCGACCTGGTCGGCGATTCGCCAATTAGCTCTTGGCTCATCGAGTTTTACAGACCCCAATTTCAAAATGTCTTGAGTCCAACGGCGGTCCAAGTCGAGCTCGCCGACCTCTTCGGTGAGTCATCGACTAGACTTTTGGCTCGCCAATCTGCACATTTCAAACACATTCCACACTTTGACCTGCACAATCAACACACTATTATTTCTCAAATAAAAATAAAGAAATAAACACTTGGGTTGCCTCCCAAGGAGCGCCTTAGTTAACGTCGTGGCACGACGCAAGTCCCCAAATAAGTTGTATTTGTAGGGTTTGCCTCGTTTTCACAAGGCAACCCACCTTCTTGTTGTGGGTACAGACAAGACATCACTTGGTCCATTTGGGACTCTAGAAGCTTAATGAACATGGAATGAGAGGTTTATATCTGATTCAGCATCAAGACATTCTCTCTTATCTCTCTCAACACTCTGTCATGTTCTTCGACTTTGTGAAGAATGAGTAAGAGCACCTCCACTATTTGTCCACCCTCATTCTCATTTATACTTCAATGCTCGTGGTGGGGAATGTACCTATCTTTTCTTTGGTACATTACTTCCAGTTCCTTGAACTTTTTGGCCAAGATATCCAGCAGACCTAACAATGTGGCCAAGTATTGCTCCTTCTCTGTCTCCTTGTTGATCTTGGCCACACAATCAAGGAGTTGGGTTGTTGTTTCATAGAATTGTCGAATCAAACAACTCGAAGAGAGTTGGTCAGCCACTATTCTATTTTCGGGACCAAGACGCCGGTAGAAGCATTCTAGAAGTATCTTATCTAGAATTTCATGAGTTGGGCACTACTCCAATAGGGCCTTAAATATTTTCCACAACTCATAAATTGCATCACCCTCCAATTGCTTGAACTTTAGGATGTTATCCCTAAGAATCATCAATCTCAAAGGAGGGTGGTCCATTGGGGCACCTTTGCTACAAGATATGCTCCAATTCTCTACTCAAAACAATAACACAAAAACCAAAACTAAAAATAAGTAGATTCAACTATAACTAACAAGAACAAAATTCAACTTAACCAAAACTTCTCAAATAACACCACTCCCGGCAGCGGCACCATTTTGATTTCACGTATCAGGACACTTCATCGAATTCTAGTGGCAACGATCGTTAGTCAGTAATATAACCCAACTAAATGAGTTGGAGTCGAATCCCACAGGGAGCGTTATGTGTTTGAGAATCAATCGAAAAGCATGAATATATTCAAATCAGCCATAGGAATAGACATTTATGAATAAAAAACATAATTCAAATCAGGGGGTGACACAAATGTCAAATAACAAAGGGGTTTGGTTTCAAATTATCAACTACAACAACAGTAAATAATACGAAATAACAATAATGAGACGGGTTTTTGGGATGTGATTTGATTATAGGCTAATTTAGACAAACGAGTAATTGCAACTGTTAGAAAATAGTTGTATGTTAGTGACTAAGCTAGACTATAGAGGAGGTAAACTTTCTCTCGAACAATTTTCCCTGAATCAAATCGGTTTCTCTGGAACACCAACAAGCAGTAAAATAAGAACAGTTTGCACTTTAGTCTATTCACTCTCTAGAGCTGAATGTTTGGAAAAGGGTTTAGGATTCACTCTCTCGAGTTGAACCCATGACAACCCAATACCCACAGACCATCAATTCAATAATCATGGTTTTAAGACCTCTCTCTCGAGCAAGCCAAAAATACGAAGGTAGAATTACATTTGCAATGAAAATCCTTTAAATTAAACCACAATTACTAAATGTAATCACTTCTAAAAAACATTTAAACTAACAATTATCATGACCATAAACTAAATCAACCCATAATCACATAATCACACCCAAAGAATTGGAGTTTTAGCTAGACATCATAAAAAGATAAAAATCATTACCAAAGTGTGTTTCCATCAATTGGGTAAGATTAATTTCGTCTTTACAAAGGTCCAAATTGAAGAATCTCAAAGACCCACTTCCAATTTCTCAAAAATGGAAAATTTCAATTCTTCAAGGCTAAGGAAAACTTAGTCTCAATCCTCAGTGTTCCAAAAATCAAAAACTGATTAAAGATGGATAAAAGATAGATGATAGATATTCAAAAATGTATTTATAGTCGCCAATAAGTCGGGCTCGCCCATCCACTCGACGATCTGCCGTTTGGTCCATTTCATCGCCTTCTCGCCTTGGCCTTTAGCATCCTCAAGTTCTGTAACTTAGGGCGATCTAACACTGCATCGCGGAACCACTCGGCGACAAGTCGTCTGCTCCTTTCTCTCACCGAGTTGATTTTCTCCTTCAGGGCTTAGAACACTGGAACTTTATGCGAGATAATGGCCATTCGGTGACTCCCCAATGGACTTGGCGATCACCCGACCTTCTTTTCTTCGTTCTTTTAGCTGCTTTGTTCCTTTTTGCAAGTTAGCGTCAATGCCTTGTTCCTCAATCCATATATATGAAAATCAAGGGTTTTACATCAGTTATTGATAGAAAACAAGAATTTGAGGACACTAAGTCATTATAAATAAACCCTAAATGAGTCAAAATCTTAGACTCATCAGGCATCATCAATTAGGGTTCATGCTCACAAATGCTTATTTCAAATGCAAACTTCTGCCCAGAAAGAGTATTCTAATTCCCTCATAGCAAGAATGATTCCATACTCTCACAAAGCCGATCAAGAACTAATACACTACAAGAAATAGCACTTATTGTGGTGATATTTAGTGGCAATTTTGTTTTTTGCTACAGAAGCTACATATTAAGTGGCAACAATTGTTGTTGCTCGTGAACATTTATCTCTAGAGGCGACTTATTTTGTGTCGCCACTAATAGTTGTCAGTAAATCTAAAAATTATAACTCCCGCTGAAATGAAAATTTTGGCTCCAAATATTTAGTAGCATCTTATTAAACGTCGCCTCTAAATATAATTTTGTAGGGATCAAGTCGCCTCTAATATTAATTTAAAAGAAAAACAAAAATAAAATAAAATGAAGGTTCTAGTTAAAATAAAACAAAAGAGTCATTTGTTCTTCTTTGCTCAAACTAAAATAATCAAATGTTCCTCTTAGCTCAAATGGGTTTTCTATAGCAAAAGAGAGAATGAAAAACATATCTCTGCTCAAATCTTGGAAAAGGAAGGAAGAAAAACTCATTCCTCTTTGCTCAAATCTGGGAAAAGGGAAGAAGAAAAAAATCGTTCCTCTTTGTTCAAATCTGTGAAAAGGGAGGAAGAAGTAGTGTCTATTGGTTTAATATTTCGTCAAATCTATTGGAATAGGGTTTTTTGCTGAATATTCTTCAATTTTTCACTAATAGGGTTCTCTAAAGTATATATTGCATCAGGTATGTGCTCAAATTCCTTTCTTGGTATTTGTATTTTCGATTTCACATATAATTTCTTTAACCCAGTTGAAATTATGTAGGAATAGGGTTCTCTAAAGTCAAAGGAGGAAGGGAAAAAGTTCATAATTTGAAAATCAGTGTGAGAGTGTCTCGTTCAATTGAACTTGTTCTTTGGTTGAAGTTTTGAAGGTACAATTCATGTCTATCCATATTTTAATATTTTTTAATTTGTTTTCACGATCTTGAAAGTCATGTCTAAGTAATCTCTTTCCTTTGGTAAGCTAGAAGTTTATTTTTGATATTGTTGTTGTGATTGTCTGTTTAAAATAGATTGGATATCTTAAGTTCAATGATTTATACAGGGAAAAGAGTTTCTTTTCAGCTAAAATTACCTCAGGTTAAAATAAGTGATTTAATGATTCAGTTTTAGTATTCTATTGGGTTTTTAATGTGAAAGTTGAGTAAATTTCTTTTATCCAAATCAGCCATAGTCGCTGAAATCATAAAGTCTTGTGTGTTTGTTGGAAATTTAAAACATGGTACAGTCAAACTTTGAGATGGTAAAAGCCTTTCTTCCTATATAGGTACAGTAAGAAGGTAAATCCTTCTCAAAAGGCAGGTTTATGGAAACAGACTTTCAAAAGAACGAACATGTAATGCTAATGTGACTGCTACTGTTGTGTATGATTTTGGCCATTTATGATAGAAAATATAATTGCGGTTAATGCTTGAAACGTGTGATGTAAAACATTGAGGGGATAACATGTGAAGTTAGAGAACAAGAATTCCTTTTCCATTTTGCCTTTTAATTTGTTGACTTCCAAGAAAGCTATTATTCCAAGCACTTCATTGGAATTCTTTCATTTTGTAATGTCAAATGATATTCTATAGAAGCTGCTTAAATTTAATGTTATTTACCATAATTGGTTTCTAAATTACACACTTTCTTACACTCCATTTTTAGGAAGAAAAAATGAATTTGTTAGTGATTCAATAATAGTTGTCATTTGGGAAAGAACTCATTTTACTTGAGACATTTTGAAACCTATTTCTGTGTATGTACTTTGATTCATTACAAGATGTTTAATGACTCCTCTAAACTTGATTTCAAATTCTATTTGCTATGTATTGTGAATTGTGTTTTAAATAGTATGAACATGATTCAAAGTAAAAGTAGTGTCTTATTTATCTGTGATTTGTGTACATGTAAATATCTCATTTTGATTGGTGATTTATGTATGTGTTTTATGTTATAGTTCCATTGAGTTTGGAGATTCTAACATATATATATATATATATATATATATATATATAAAACCATCTCCTTTTACCAAAAAAAAGTTTGTTGGCCTAAAATATCCTCCTAGAATGAATTAAAATTATTGATAGAAGTAAATTATTGACAGTCCAAATCTATAATGTAAAATTAGTAAGATAAACGTTACATTTTCTTTTAATCTACCGTAAAATACATACTCTAACTATACAAATTTTGTTTGTTTGACTTGTTAAAGAATTGACACCTTTGTTGAAGAATGGAGTACTTACGTTTTTTTATACAATGATTTATTTACTACACTTTGTGCGTTCCTTTCTAGTTAGTTGATCCTCACCTCTCTTTGTTTAACTCTATTTATCCGAGCTTCTCTATCCATTGTTTATCATTGTAAAATAAATAAATTAATGAACTATTTTCTGTTGAAAATAGGAATGGATAAAAGTCGGTTAAATATTAGGAATAGAGTTGACCAAAGATATAGAGATGGAGTTGAAGGTTTTCTTAATTGGGCATTCAGTCAATCTGGAGTGAATACAATGATTCCCTGTCCTTGTAGAGGATGTATGAACACCGTGTTAAAGCTAAGAATTGATGTTAGAGGTGACTTATTGAAAGAGGGCTTTCGGGAATCTTATAAAGTGTGGGACTTGCATGGAGAAGTATTAGTTAGAGTTGAAAACTCTAATACCGCATGTAGTGCTGAAGTAGAAGCTGATGACATTGAAGAGGATGACATTATTGAAATGATTCATGAAGCTTGTGGATATATGGGGAATAATATTAATTCTTCGGGGGAAAATGAAGAACCAAATATGCATGCAACAAAGTTCTACAAATTGTTGGAAGATGCTCAAATATAACTTTATTCTGGTTGCACACAATTCTCAAAGTTATCTTTTGTTATTAAATTACTTCACTTGAAGTGCCTCAACAATTGGAGCAACAAATCGATGGATGAGTTATTAAGCTTCTTTAAAGAAGTTCTTCCCGAGGGGTCATTAGTACCTAGTTCTTTTTATGAAGCTAATAAAAATCTTAGTAACCTAGGCTTAGGGTATACAAAAATAGATGCATGTCAGAATGATTGTATTTTATATTAGAGCGATTATGTCAATGCACAATCATGTCCAAAGTGTGGAATGTATAGATGGAAATCACTAGTAAACAAAGGCAAGAAAGTAGATCATAAAGTATTGCGCTATTTTCCAATCAAACCAAGGCTTCAAAGATTATCCATGGCAAAAGAGACATCAAAGAAGATAAGGTGGCACAAGGAGGAAAATATTGATGACGATGTCTTGCGTCATCCATCTGACTCAATAGAATGGAAATCTTTTGATGAGCGTTATCCTTCCTTTTCATCTGAGTTAAGAAATGTTCGATTAGGTTTAGCTAGTGATGGCTTCCAACCTTTTGGAAATATGAGTTCAAATCATAGTATTTGGCATGTCGTTCTAGTTACATATAATTTTCCACAATGGGATTGCATGAAAGATTCATATTATTGTAGGGTCAGCTCCAACAACTTGTTATTGAACAACAATCTGAAGAGATCGAGCATCGCATGACTAGGGGTGATATCTTATCTTCAGTTCTTGGTGAGAGATCAGGCTATATTTGGGGGGAAATGATACGGAAAGACACCTCCTAAAAAGACTCAAATACATAAGGCATATATAGAGGCTAGTGTGTCTTCAGCGATGGAAAGTATGCGTCAAGAGATGCAAGCTGATATGGATCGAAAATTGCAAGAACAACGAAAGCAAATGACTGCTGATTTAAAAAGAAATATGGAAGAAGATTTGCTAAAAAAATTGGAAGAGGAGCGTGAACACATGAAAGGCGAAGTGGACAAGATGTTTCAAGAACAAATGGCCGCTATCATGATTAGAATGCAATAGGTACTTTCTCTTGCTCCTGAACAATTCTTCTCCTTTCATTGTTTGTTCTTCTCACCGTAAAATCTCAAATGTTATTTAAAGATCTTATTTGCCTCTACGCTAAGGCATTTTCTACCACATATCAAGAAAGAATTTGTGGGATTTGTTTTTTTTTCAAGATTTTGATATTAGGAAGTTGATAGCTCTGTTTATTGACTTCCCTTATATGTAGGTTCTTTGTTTTTAGCGTGAAATGCCTCAGTTATCAAGGGGTTTTAGTTGTGGGTGTATTGGTTTTTCTTTTTAATTATTAAGTCTAAGATAAATATTTGTTTAATTGTGAAAAGTATTATGTCTTCTAGTCTCTCCCTCGTGTATGCATGAATAAAGCTATTTCTCTGCATATTATTTTCATCTGATAGTTATTGTTCTAAAATCTGATCAAGTTGTGCTCTCTCCATATTACAGTTATCAACAAATAAAATATGTTGCTGATTATACTTCATTTTCCCGATTTCTTCTTTGCCCATTTAACAATCCACTCTCTACTGGATTTTGAGTTTTTTTTATGTTTGATGAACTTTTTAATAAGTTGTGTTGTAATGTGAGTAAATATTTCTTGTTCTACCTCTGCTATTAGAAAATATTTTATCTTGTAACTTAAACTGAGCACCTTTTGTTGATTTTGAGTTTTTCAAGTTGGATGAAGCTTTTACTAAGTTGTCTTGTAATGAGAGTAAATGTTTCTTGCTCTGCCTCTGCTATTAACATTAGAAAATATTGTATCTTGTAACTTAAACTGAGCAACTTTTGTTGATTTTGAGTTTTTCAAGTTGGATGAAGCTTTTAATAAGTTGTCTTGTAATGTTAGTAAATGTTTCTTGTTCTGCCTCTACTGTTAATATTAGAAAAGATTGTATCATGTTACCTAAGTGACTACCTTGGAATCATTTTAGCCTCTTGACATATTCTTGTTTTCCTTCTGTCTCTTTACTCTTTTTTAACACATTATGAACTAATGTAACTGGATCTCTCTGTCATTATAATATAACACTAATATTACTGGATCTCTCAGTCATCACTAGAATTAGAAATTTTATTTGTGATGGATGTAGCACTTAAGAGAACAAATGAGATTCTCTTACTGTGTTAGATATTTTAATGTCTCTTACTGTGTTAGATATTTTAATGTCCATATCATGTATAGTTCTGATTGTTGATTTAAATAGAGGATTTGCTTGTTGTGTTGCAATTAAAATTTTTGGTGTGGGTTTCCGAATGACAACAACTGCCAGTATCTTATTATATGTTTTCATACAGAAAAAAACAAATTATTGAAACTATGATGGTTTTGATTTTAAAGTCTTATGTTACTCTTGTTATTATAAGCATTGGATTGTGAGAATTAGAAAGTGATTGTGTGTTTTTCTAATTTCAGGGACAAGGTTCTTAAACAATGGGGCAAGATCAAGAAGTAGTTTTAAGGCGTGCAATGGAAGTTTTTGCTTTTGGCCATATGTATATGGTTACAACGATAATTGAACTACTAGCGTGTTATTATATATATATATATATATGTATATATATGTATGTATGTATGTATAGGTGAATTTCTAGTACTGGGAGTATTTATAATATTTAAATCGAAAATGCCTTGTGTATTAATGTTGTGAAATACAGATAGATGTTTTTAATAGCTATATATATGTATTGATTTTATAAAATTTATTTCAAAACATTAAATATTGTTCTTTAGTGATGAGATGAATGTTGCCACAAATGCTATAGTAATTTTTGTGGTGATTTTTATATACTACTAAAAATCACATTTTGCATTGACATAAAAGTTGCCACTAATAATTAGTTGATTTTGTGGCGGAAAAATCTGCTGCAAATTATAAGTGTGTAGCAGCGAGATGAGAGGTGATACTAATAGTTAATAGTTTTTTGCAACAGTAGGAGTCGCTACTGATATTAATATTTAGTAGCGACAAAAGTTGCCACAGAAAGTTTATATGTTTTTGTGGCAACAATCTCGCCACTAAAGACCTTGTTTTAGTGGCGACTTGACAAATAGTCGTGTTGCGGTTTTATTTTTGTGTCATATTTTTACCAAATTGTGACGGATTATGTCGCCACAGATGAGTGTGTTTTGTGGCGACATCCTTTTGTCTCCCCAAATAACTTTTAGTTATGGAATTACTACCAACGGAGAGGAAGTCGCCACAATAAACTTGTAGTGGCGACATTTGGAGTATTTGTGGCGACTTTTGCTGACACAATAAGGCAAATTTCTTGTTGTGATAATTAAGGGATTAAAATCAACTGACACACTCCCAATGAGAAAAACATTGATGATTCTACCCATAGGTTTTCCCGTATTTTCCAACTAGCACATAAGTTGGCTTATGCAAGATCACAAAGGTCTTTTAAAGCATGTAATTGGGTTGAGGGTAAGGGTATGATCATTTCGGTTTAGTGACTACCTTTATGAAGCATGACTCAAATTTCACTTCTTTTCCTTTTCTACCGCTCTTTTAATATTCACAACTCATCCTTTGCCTATTCATAGCTCACACAATTTTTGGTATAGCTCATCTGACACCACTTTTATTTCCACAACAATGCACAACGGATACATATCATTTATTTCTTTTCTTTCTTTTATATGGAGGGGTCCTCATCTTTTTCACCACATGCTTCAAAGGACAAATTTCATGAATTTCTTACTTGGTTTCTTTCCCCATTTATACCAGACCCCCAACTTAGGCTTTTGGCCTAAGTTGGCTATATTATAGGTGGGAAGAACACGGTGATTTCAACAATCGGTTTAAACATTTGTGTTCATGTTTAATCCAAAGAAAAGGTTAGGCTCAAATGGTACCAATCTAGATTCACACACTTACAAGGCGGTGACACAAAGGTATGGCAATTAGGTTCACTCTCAAAATTCATGCCTAAGATTATATCTTTCATTCACCAATGCTAATCAATTGGACTAATGGAGCAAGTTCTAGGTATCCTCATGTACACTTTTCAATTAAACGTCATCACACATTGCATCTAAACACAATCATTGATCATAGCTCTACAAGTTGAGCTCGCATGCAACAATCATTGCAAGATTCACACTCTATATTTGACTAGTCACAATGATATTCTAAGAGTTCACACAAGACATATGAAACTCAAATTACCTCGTTGGATAAACACAAAGATATTGTTCATCTAAAGCACTATTTAAATTATTGATATTGACCACAATCGACACTCAAATGTACAAGAGAACACTAACCAACATTAACTTTTAAGCAATTATGAGGGAGGCAAATGAATCCTAACCAAAACATCATTAAACTACTAAAACAAAATGAAGAAGTCATAAGTCCAACCCAAATGAAAATAACAAACTATCTCAAAATAGCAAAAAAAACAACCAAAAGGGTACGTAGCTAGGTACCTTTACCCGACTAAAAATAAAATAGCAGTGTCCTAAATGAAAAAAAAGACTAAAAATAAAATGGAGAGAGAGTAAGGATCCCTTTGATAGGCTAAGCCTGAGGGGAACTCCAACCACTGGTGTGGCCTCAACTTGGGTATCAATGCCTATCTCAACTAAGACTCTAGAAAGTCGTGGAACGACCTCCTCTATGGTCTTTGACCCACTAGAACCAATCATAGATGTGTCATGAAGCGATGCCTCCATAGCTACCTGCAACATATCGCCCTCTAGGTCCTCAAAATCCTCGTCACATCAATCTCATGATTGTCTAAGTCCTCCTCATCAGTCTCGGGAGTGTCAGAATCCACATCCTCATCAGTTGTAGCAGAATTCCTAGTCAGAGTAGATGGAGGGATCTCACAGTCAATGGTCCCCACCTGCCCGGTCTTTTGAATCAAAGGTAACTCAGAACTAGGGTCCTGAGGGACATCTATCACTCCAGAAAGCATAGACATATCGGTGGACTATAATTCATCCACATCACGATGCAAACTAGTAATATTAGTAATCAGGGCTGTCAAATCAGGAGGTCTGTGGCCCATCTAGTCACACACCTGAACCCGAGTGGTGAGGGCATCCAAAGCTTTTCCATGGGAAGCGATCACCTCAGGTTGTCTCTTCAACTCTTTCCGAATGGAAGTAAGGGCAGCTGCAATGGCATGATCAATCATAGAAGGGACACCAGCTTCAAGCTGAGAAGCTCTCACATCAGCCGAATGGGAAAGGTTTCCCATTTTTTATATCAAGGCCTGAGTTAAAGGGGGATGGGAGCTGGTGGCAGGAGAACTAGAGTTATAAGGGGTAGGTGTACCTGAATGCTCAACTGCGGGGGTGGGAGGTGTAGAACTAGCCTCCATGGACTCCATTTCAACTATTGGGGAAGTGTCCACCGGAGTTTCTTTCTTCTCTCCGCCTCATCTCTCAAGTACTCTACTTCAATCTGACGAATATCACAAGATGAGGATGGAATTACTTCAATACATGTCTTTACCACAAAAGGTACACTTGGTTTGCCACACAAAGAATTAATCAATACTAGAAATAGCAATGAGGTTTGATTTTTTTGGCCCTCATAGCCATCTCATGTGCAATAATGAAGCCCAAATTAAGTTTCTCCTTGTCAATGATGCACCCAAATAGCGTAGTCTTCAGATGCCTAACAATGGACTCATTCTGCGATGGCATCAATGTGCTACTGATGAACCCAAACTAATATCGTGTTGTGATGTTGAGGTCTTTTTTTTCAATAATAGCCCCCGCCTTAATCCATGGGGGTATTACATCACCCAACAATGGGGCAAGCCACTCATTAAAATCATCCAACATTTAAGTTTTTATTTTGTCGAACAAAGAGTGTCCAGTTTGCATTGTGTAATCCAACTCGTTGTTGATGTCTGTTTCACTACATTGCACTTTCTTGCCCCACACCTCTACAAAATAAACAGGGGCCATAGAACTAGCCTACTTCTTCATTTTTGGGATCAACTTGGCATACCCTTCGTAAGATCCCCGAACACACTTCGAATATATGGGCGTAAAAGCTTTCTGAATTGCTAGAATTTATAATACCGCAGTGTTTCCCAGATGTTCGGATACCTATCCACTATTCCATCCGTGGACAACATTTTCTCCTTAAGTATGGTCCACAACCTAGCAGGCTTTACACGATTCATAGAAAGAGGAGGATTAGTCTTAATGGGGGGTACATGTGGTGCATGTTGAAGAGCCAGTGGGTCATGGCCTGCTTTAGAGTGCATCTCCAATCGCTTCCTCTTGGCTAAATCATCTTCTAACACCGGAGTGTGGATTGGAGTCCTTGGCACCTCAACTTCTTCATTCTACGACTCAGATGATGTGAACTGTAGTGAATCATTGTCTATACTTTCATCCGATCTTCTGTCATCCACCACTTGTTGTTTTCCCTTACTACTCGCATGTGAAGGTTTATGATGAATAGTTTGGGTATGTTCAGTTTCATCTAAAATAATAACCCACTCGCTTTCTTCTGGGGTGGTGGGACCTTGGGCTTGGGTCTTTTTCGAGGTGGAGGACAATCCTCATCGAGCAGATGCTTAACTGGAACCTTAGGTCGAGCCATACCTGTAAACGCACAAAAATGAGAACAAATTGTTCGTGAAAGGTTAGTGAATAGAGGCAGGCAACAAAAATAACAAAAAATTGAAGAGAAACTACATGAATTAATTCAGTGAATCGTCGACTCCTTTCGGCGTGCTTTAGGGCATCGCCTAATAGTACATTAGCTCCTTAGTAAAACCTTAGGCCAGAAGGGAGATCTCAAGGCCCTTCGGTGACTTACCGAATTCTCTTCGACGAGCTGAAGGGTCTTTGCCAAAATAAGTAGTGGCTCACCTCGCAAGCCCAATAAGTTAGGCGATGGGGATGCATTTGGCGAAGCACTTAGTCAATTCGGTGAGCCCGACGAAGCTCGCAAAAATGACCCAACTCATCACCTTCCAACCACTTTCTCAATTCACAAACAACAGCCCACGAATCACAAATTTAGACACAATCGCACACAATACACAACTACACAAGATGAATTCACTAGTCGGGGTACTCAGACTTCCCCTAATTAATGCCAATCTAACCAAATGACAATTTTACCCTTAAGAATTCGTCACCCAATCCATCATCGGGTAAATTAAAGTCATTTGGTCGAATTCGGGCTACTTAAACTTCACCCATGCACATGACATTCAAAACCCACAATTTCATAATCTAACAAGAGAAACATAAACACATGGACACAAATTATTGATTTAACATGCTCGGCTCAAAATTAGCTATTCATGGCACAAAAGTATACTAAGAAATTGATAAAACCACTACACTTAGCCTTAATACCGCAAGTATTATATAAAATTACACAAAGTTTGAGAAACAAACCTCCAATGGGGACAAATACACCAGCGCAGCACAAGCAAGGGTAGAGGAATCACGACAACACTACACTTATGAGATGCATTTAAGAATAAATATAGCCTAAATTTCAATGGAGGAGTAGAGGAGTAGAATTTCTCAACTAAAAGAAAAAAATTGAATTTAGAAGTTAAAAAGAAGAAGGCTTTTTTAGTGCTTGAGAAATTCGTCGAGCTCGACTAACATCGTCGAATGGGTCTCAGCCCGCATAAAAATTACATAGTCCTCAACCCTTCCTTGTGCAGTGGGCGAGCTCGATCGAGTTTTCCGATCAGAAAAGGCGACTCACCGAGTGACTTCCCCAACGCCTTTCTGTAGGTGCAGTGGGCGAGCTCGGTCGAGTTCACCGATCAGACTAGGTGACTCACCTAGTGAGCTGTAAGTTCGCTCGAAATTCTAGAACCTTCCTCATTTATGACCTTCATGGAGCGATGAATTTGGGCGATCATCGATCAGACGCATCAAATTGCCAATTAAGCTACCTTCTTGCCCATTTTGATTTTTCCCAAAATACTAACTCCAACCTATACATCAAAGAAATGTTATTCAAATAAGCAAAAAACTAAACGGAAAAATTTTCCACTTCTATTACCCGTTTGCAAACATATGATTAACTTTAAACGGACCCGATCATTTTGACTTGAGTTTTCATGAAAAGTGTCTCGGATGAGATTTGTAGAGCAGCACAAGATCACAAACTTTAAACTCTTGATGAATGATATTTTCATCATGACGTTGTGAAGGGTTGATCTATCATAATCATGAAGCCGAAACTCTTCCAAAGCATGGAGTTGGTCAACACAAGTTTTCGACGCATATTCCCAATTCAAGTTCAACATGTAGATGACTAGATTTACCAAACACCAACTGATACAAGGACATACAAATCGGGATCTTCAATGAAGTCCTTTATGCCTAAAGAACGTCATCACTTTCGAGACCAATCGATTTGATTTGCATTAACGGTCTTGGTTAAAATCCCTTTGCTTTCCCAGTTGGACACCTTGACTTGCCCATTTGTCTGCGAATGATAAGGGGTGGAAACCTTATGCTTGACTCCATACTTGATCAACAACGAGGCAATCATTCAGTTATAGATATGAGAGCCCCCATCACTAATGAATGCACGTGGAGTTCAAAATCTCGTGAAAATGTACCGTTTGAGAAATTGAACCACACTTATCTCTTTATTATTAGGTGACACAACTGCCTCTACCAACTTAGAAATATAATCAATGGCCATCAAGATGTATTTGTCCCCACAAGAACTCACAAAAAGCCCCATGAATCGATTCCCCACATATCAAATAACTCAACCTCTAAAATTGAAATGAAAGGTAATTTATGTCTTCGCGACACTCCTCCCTGTTTTTTACATTGTTCACACTTCTTAACAAGAGAATTCACATATTGATACAACATTTGCAACTAATAACCACTTTGTTGTACCTTAGCACTTGTACACGCTCCACTATGGTGTCCACTAACTAGTGACGCATGGCAAGCATCATGAATAACATCTACCTCAACTACTGGAACACATCTTCTAATAATGTGATCAGCACACTCCTGAAATAGGTAAGGTTCATCCCTAAAATACTTCTTTGCATAAAAAGAGAAACCTCTTTAATTGGTAAAAAATCAGTTGATCGGGAAGAATCCAACACACCACATAATTAGCAAAATCAGCATACTAAGGCAGAGAACCATTCGACACAATCATCACCGACTCATCGAGAAAGGCTTCCTCAATATCTTTTTTGCCAGAAACAACCACATTTGATTCCCACCTAGACAAGTAGTTTACTACTTGGTTCTCACACCTCTTTCGATCATTGACTTCAAAGTCAAACTCTTGTAATAATGACACCTATTGGATCAACCTTGACTTGACATCCTTCTTAGCCATCAAGTAACATATATTAGCATGGTCGGTGTGTACTACCACCTTGGTCCCAAAAACATAGGCTCTAAGCTTCTTAAAATCATACACCACTGCTAACAACTCTTTCTTAGTGACGGTGTAGTTCTTTTGAGCTGCATTCAAGGTCTTTCTTGCATAGTAGAATGGGTGAAACAAATTTCCCTTCTGTTGGCCAAGTACATCTCCCAAAGCCACACCATGTGGCATTACACAGTAGATCAAATGGAATTCTCCAATTTGGAGCAACAATGATAGGAGAAGAAATGAGCTTCTCTTTTTAAACACAAAATTGCCTTGACACAAGCTTCATTAAACTCGAAGACACTTTCCTTTTCAAGTAGCGTGCAAAGAAGATGAGCCACCTTAGAGAAATCTTTTATGAACCTCCGGTAGAAACCCGCATGACCCAAGAAGCTTCTAACACCTTTAACCAAAATAGGAGGAGCCAACTTGGCGATAACTTCAACTTTAGTTTGAGCAACTTGTATGCCATTTCCTAAAATTTTGTGCCTCAATACGATACCTTCCTTGACAATGAAGTAACATTTCTTCCAATTGAGAACATCTTTTGTTTTGACATATCTTTGCATAACTCTACCAAGGTGCTCAAGACACGCTTCAAATGTATCTCCCAAAACCAAAAAGTTATCCATGAAGACTTTCATCGAATTATCCACCATATCAGCAAAAATCGAGAGCATTCACCTTTGAAACATCACCGGTGCATTACAAAATCCGAAGGGCATTCTTTTGAAAGCAAACGTCCCATTGGAACATGTGAACGTTTTATTTTTATGATCCTCTAGTGCAATGGAGTTTTAATTATAACCGGTGTAACAATCCAAGAAGAAATACCATTCATGACCGCAAGCCTATCATGCATCTGATCCATAAAGTGCATCAAAAAATGATCCTTCTTGGTCCACGCATTCAACTTTCGATAGTCCATACATACACGCCAACCGGTAACCTGTAGTATTGGCACAAGCTCTCGTTTTCCATTTGTGACCACAGTCATAACACCTTTCTATGGAACGTATAGGATGGGACTAACCCACTTGCTATCTGCAATAGGGTAGAAAAATCCTGCATCAAGTCACTTAATAATCTCTTTCTTGACAACTTCTTGCATTGGAGGATAAAACATGCTTTGAAGTTCAATACTTGTCTTACAATCACTAGCCAATTGAATCTTGTTGGTACAAATACAGGGAGGAATTCCCGCAATGTTGGTAATCGTCCACCCAATATCCTTGATAAAAACATTTCAACACACTAACAAGCGTATGTGTTTGCCATTTAAGAAAATTCGCAGCAATAATCACAGGTAAAGTTTTATTTGCTCCAAAGAACACATAACGAAGGTAAAATGGAAGTACCTTCAATTCGAGCTTTGGTGGTTCTTCTATAGATGGCTTTGCGGGAGGACATTTTCTATTCTTCAAATCGATATCAAGCTTCAAGGGGTTCTTAGATAAGAACCTAAACCGATAGAGCAGGAACTACCTCATCATAATCTTGAATTTCCTCCCAATCATATTTCAAAAGGACCCAGTCAAAGACTCAACAACACAATAAACTTCGCTCACACTAGCAACCACTTCATCAATCGCGTCAATGATTGATATCACATGGAAGTCACTTGGTTGCTTCATTAATTTACAAATATTGAATGTAAGTTCCTCACCATTTACCCGGAATTTCAGTTCATCAATTTCCACATCAACAAGAGCTCTCTCGATAGCCAAGAACGGCCTACAAAGAATAATAGGGACCTCGAAATTAATCTCGCAATCAAGAATCACAAAATCATCCAGAAATATAAATTTGTCTACCTTCACCAAAATGTCATAAAGGATGCCAATAGGGAGCTTGATAGAACAGTTAGCTGTGAGAAAATGCTTAGTTTGTAGTCTTAGCCTCACCGAACCCAAGTTTCTTGAAAATGGCAAAGGGCATCAAGTTTATACTCTCCCCCAAATCACACAACACTTTAGCAAATTAGAACATCCCTATAATGCTAGGGATAGTAGATGCCCCCGGGTCATCCTTCTTGATACCCACGTTGCTTGACATAATGGCACTAAAACTATGGGATACTTCAATTGTCTCAAAATCCATACTTTTCTTCTTAGTGACCAACTCTTTCATAAACTTTTCATAATTTGACATTTCTAACAGCGCCTCCACCAAACCAAGATTAATATAAAGAGTTTTGAATGCAGAAAGAAATTTGTGGAACTTCACGTCTTCATCCCTCTTCTTCAATCTTTGAGGAAATGGTGGAAACATTAGGCAACGGCTTTGCAAGAACTGAGGGAGGAACAACCCCCACATTTGACTTTTTAGCATCACCGGAAACAACATTTTTCGGTGCATCATCAACCTCATTGGAAGCTTCATTGTTCAACTCTTCGGCAAGTACATCACTTTAAACAACAATAGCTTTCCCTTTGCTTGAACTTGAATTATCATCATTTGGCACATAACTTCCCTCAACCTTACCACTCCGGGTCAAGATAGCCATGCATTGCGTATTATCATTCTTTGGATTTGCTATGGTATCACTAGGAAGACTCCCTTGTGGATACTTGTGGATCTTCACTTTTAAGAATATTTCACAAGAGTCTATGTGTTTGATGTTGTTTCCTTTCTCCTTGACAGTAGAAGCAACCAAGTGGTTGGTCGAATTACCACAAGATTCCATAAATACATATGAGGAACTAACGAAGGTGTTCGTTGAATGATTTTTCCCTCCTTCGAAGATGGTGACACTTAGAGATAGCATCTAAGATTTCAAGAAAGTGGATGGTGAACCTCTCGTAAAACTATGCGGTGATTCTGAAAGTTATTGTTGCAATGCCCAACACATGGTGTCCCGAAAAACTTATTGTTGTTGTATGTCTATTGTAACCTTGATATAGTGAACGAAGGGTTGACTGACCACCTCATTCAAGGAGGATTAATGCGTAAACCATATTATGTGGCAACAGTGTTGCTTGTTGACATAACAAAGGTAAATCGAGCATGACACACTAGGTAGGACCAATTGACTTCTCTAAAGATGGGTATGACCATGGAACAAATGGAAGAGAACCAAGATCTTGATGAAAATATGACAAAGATGATGACCCAAATTGACTTGTTATTTAAATTTGTCATAGGGGGTCGATTAAAATCGGTAAAAACAGTTGGTATGAGCAGTGGGCAATGCCTGGATGATGAAAATTTTGAGGCATTATACAATGAGAAAGTGCAATACACGGGGAACCAAATGGGGGTTCTCATCCAAACTATCTGAAGGTGGGTGGAAATCAACATTGGACTAAAGAGAAGGATAATTGTTGGAGAGATTGCATAGACAGTGAAGGAAATTGGAGTGATAGTAAGGCTTACAAAGACAGGTATATACATCCTCATGATCATCCCAAACCCAAAGAGCAAGTTGGACCGAAAGGGAATTGAACTGATTACATGTTGTCTAGGATCTTCAACAAGCTAGAGGGTTCTGACAAAGTGTTGAAATATTTTAAAAAATATTTCACCACTTTGACTCAAATGGTTCCTTCCCACCCTATGTTAATTAAATAGCTGGAAACTCAAATGTGTCACATCTCCGCTCATTTACATACAAATAAAAAATGGACCTTTCTTAGTGATACCATCAAAAAATCTAAGAATTATTCTTTATGAGTGAGAACTACATCAATCCACGACATTAAATAAGGCAGTTCTGGGGAGGCAACCCAAGTTTTCTTTATTTTTTAATACATGGGTTTTGAGTGCACGTCAAAGGAAGTCAAAAATTGAAAAGGATAAAGTGGGCGATGAAAATACCCATTAGGTGATCCACCAATTTGATTTGGTAGGCATATCCATGCTCTCCTTCTCAACTGAGAATTTTGAAAAATTGTTGAGTCAAAGTGAACGTCCATGTACCTATTTGGCGATCCGCCGAATACATTGAGCGAGTAACATTGGATTCACTGAATTGAAATCCATGTTTGGGTATTTGTACAGACATTATCAAAGAGCTTTAGCTCCTTTGGCGGGTTGCCAGATTCAATCGATGACGTTAGTCCCAATGTGCTGAATGCGTCGGGCAGTGGAAAGCCAATAGTATTTGCTCTTTTAAATGTTCATCTTTTGATATTTTTGGACTTTTTCACTATCTACACTCTACATCTAGTCTAAATACATTAATGTGTCTTTTTTTCTTCGATTATAGTCTGTGAAGTGCGTGATTATTGATTACTCTCTACCCAAACCCCTTCTCCTTTTTTTTCAAAGAGCTTTTGCTTTCTAATGTTTGTTTTTGGGTTTAAATAGCTTGTTTCTCCTTCAAATTTGTGCTTAATTACTTATTAACTATTGTGTTTGCTATTTTGATATGTGAGGCTTGTGGGTATGTGATAAAATGCTCGATTGAGTAGTACCCATGATTTGTCCTTGTTGATTTTGTGAAAAATTACAAAAAAATTATTGTGTGGGTAGTTAGTTGATAATTACTTGATAAATATTGTGGTTATTGTATGAATTTTGTTTTGGTGAAGTCTGATTAACCCAGTGTTATCCATTAGGCTTTAATTCACCCAATGATAGATAGGGTGATGTCTTTCTTGAGGGAAAATCATCGAGTTTGTAATACTATGTTGAATTTGGTGGCTGCGTGAGTACCCAAGGATTAGTTAAGAACTAAAGGTTACTACTAGAGACTACCATATTTAAGCCTGCACCTAAAAGTTCTCTCATTGCTAAGTAAAATCCCAAGGGAAATAGTCATATTCGTATCGTTATACTTGAAAATGGGAACAATCAAATTACCAATCCAATCTTAAGTCATCATAGAGTAGCTCCTTTAAATCATGATCCATACATATGTGAGAAAATCTTTCACAGCCATGATTTCATATTATGTGAGAAAACCTTTCAGTTAAGACAATCTTATTGGGGAAGTAGTTAGGAACTAGAGGTTACTACTAGAGACTATCATATTTAAGCCTCCACCTCAAAGTTCTCTCGGTGATAAGTAAGATCCCAAGGGAAATGGTCATATTCATATAATTATACTTGAAAAGGGCACAATCAAATTGACAATCTAATCTTAAGTCATCATAGAGTAGCTCCTTTAAATCATGATCCATACATATGTGAGAAAATCTTTCACAGCCATGATTTCATATTATGTGAGAAAACCTTTCAGTTAAGACAATCTTATTGGGGAAGTAGTTAGGAACTAGAGGTTACTACTAGAGACTATCATATTTAAGCCTCCACCTCAAAGTTCTCTCGGTGATAAGTAAGATCCCAAGGGAAATGGTCATATTCATATAATTATACTTGAAAAGGGCACAATCAAATTGACAATCTAATCTTAAGTCATCATAGAGTAGCTCCTTTAAATCATGATCCATACATATGTGAGAAAACCTTTCACAACCATGATGTCATACTATGTGAGAAAACATTTAACAATTTCATTGATACTTGAAATTTACCCTTAGTTCATAAAACTTTTTTTCATAAATCATGCTTTCATAAATCATTTCATAGGTTCATAATATTTCTTCATAAATTCATAGTCAAAATAATGAGTAATTCATGGTTCCTACATAATAAATTAGAAAATATGTAATTGAATCAAATCATGCATAATAAAATTGAAATCAATCAATTGAAT